AGCCGATGAATCACCTTTTCGGTGTGGGAAGTGCACCAATAGTTGGGTGGGGTGCGACGAAGCGCGGAGGATTGACGATAAGGAAGACCCATAGACGGGGTCGGGTGGGGGGTTAGGGTAGAAGTAGGATGGCAAGGTGTAGAAGCTCGGAGATTAAGTCAGATGCTGGGTCATTGGCCACGTAGGATTGGCCACGTAGGATTGGAAGTGTGGAATGTGAACAAATGGAGGAGTGAATGGTATTTTGCGTGGTGGGGGGAAGACGAAGTGTCTGTGTTGGGGGGGGGAGAAAGACGTATGTGTGGCCGCTGAAGAGGAGTCCCGAGGGCCGAGGGCATACAAGGAAGCTTATTTAGGGAAGAGCTGGGAGCGCTGAGTGAGTTGGGAGTGGGGATGAGGGACAAATGACGCGCGAGAAAGAGCGGAGGACCATCGTGGGTCGTAAAAGCGGCTTCATATGCTTAGCAGAGGCAGATTGTCAAGGACGGCAACAGGCGCCGGAAATCGGGGCCAGTGCACTTTTCACCTGCTTGTATGTCGCTGACTCAGGATCCACGTCCACCGTCGCAACGTAATCAGGCCGGCTGTGGTCTGGGATGACGCAGGGAATGTAGAGGAGCTTCTCCTTGGGGCCATTGCGATATGCGTCCTGCAATAAGAGCATGGCGATATTAACCGGCGCGCTAGAACGCGAACCAACCGTTGATATTTGGAATCGCTGGCAGATATTGGACAATTCGTATTACTTGCATCCAGCTTGACTTTGTTGCCCACGTCTGGCAAGTTGAAAACCGGGCCCAATACGTGGAACTCACCAGCGGCGACGCATAGCCTGGGCCTCTAGCACAGCAGCCGTTTGCAATAGTCATCTTGTATCGCAAATAGAAAGCTCACGACCAGCTGGGAACTTTGGGCCGCTGAGGGTGTCGGAATCTGGTGTGGCAGTTGGTCGATTAGTACGGTTGGAAGCGGACAGCAGGACAGGAAGCTATGAGGAATAATGAATTCACTTTGAGCACCGGCTAGCAGGAAATCATGAGTAGGAAAAAACAAAAAGGTGCCGACGGCATTTGACGTATTTCTTGGTGGAATTATGTTTGCACTCCTGGCCTCATGGCCTGACGGCCGCAGTGTCATTTCGCAAATCAGGTGATACGTGCGTTATGTCAGGTCTACTAAAGCCGAGCATGGCAATATGTGAATTCCGAGGAAGCATTCGATCCTTCGCCATACCAGAAATATCGCTGCCTGGTAACAAGGAGTTGGTTATAATTTCAACGTGGTCCAAAGCTCGCTCGGTAATGGCTCAGAGACTCAAGGCTTGCGACATGAGCACTCAGGTGGCGAAGTCGCGTCAAAGCCGTACGCGACGTCGATAGCTGTTTCGATTGCTTAAACGTCATCGCGTGATCCGTACTCACTACTAACTTATTGTGGGGAAGGCCATTGCGTCTGCGACCACACTCCCGCGGTACCCAAACCCTTCAAAGACAACTCCGATCAGCCATTTGGCTGTTAGTGGGAGGGCGGGTGGGCCGCTCGCACGGCAATCGAGTAGAGAGTACGAAAATAACCTAATGCAGTCATCGACAGCAGAAAACGTAAGCCTCCAGCCTCAGGCCGACTCTCTTACCTACCATTCATATTTTCTACCTCGTTCCCAAGACTCCGCCGCGTTGCCTCTAGTTCGACTCGTGCCACAGGTAACTTCGCTCGTCGCTACTTTGCCATTCACCTTCGCCTCCACCCAGCCTCTGCTTCTCCACAGAAGCGGCGACCTCCTTCGCCGTTGTTACGCCTCGTCTATGCGAATCCTCCTCATCCGACTGGGTCTTCTGCCTACCCGGTGCGCGCCCCTCTCTCCGCGCATCCGTCTCTCCGGTCCTCTCTAACGGTTGCCTACCTTACTGCAGGACTCGCCCCTTGCCTGTCCGTTGCCGGGTAGGCTTTTCTTGCCTTCCCCGGCCCCACTTGGGGCGCCCCTCCTTGGCTCGTCCACTACCTTACTTCCATCCGTTCCTGCCCCTCGGGGGCCCAACCCCTCCGCCCTTTCTGTGGGCCCGATGCCCGCTCTGGACTTATCTCACGCCC